CTTCTCCCTCTGACCCTCCCCCCTCTCATGTGCTCTCTCTCTCTCATTCTCTCTGTCTCAAATAAATAAATAAAATCTTTAAAAAATAAATAAATAAAATCTTCTCCCCGCCTCCAACTCCCCTTTTGAAATTACAGTCATTATCTGTATATGTTTGTCTCATTCCCTCCTTTCTCTTGGGGCTTTGCTCTCACATAAAAATTGCCTTATTTGGAGTAATGCGTTGAATCAGTGTTGCTCTGTGACTGTTTACTTTTCATCACTCTATGAGATCAGCCTCTGAACAATCTCAGGAATAAGCCTGATTACATATTCTACTTGAAACAGATTTTTAAATTTTAAACTTTTATTTCTGTAAGCCAAAGCAGTTTATTTATAACCAAGAATAGGAAACACTTGGTGTGGTTCCCTGCTCTTAGTAATTTATGTCCCCATTATAGGAAAATTCTTTTTTTTTTTTTTAAGATTTTATTTATTTATTTGACAGAGAGAAAGCACAAGTAGGCAGAGCAGCAGAGGGAGAGGGAGAAGTAGGCTCCCCACTAAGCAGAGAACCTGATGTGTGGGGCTCAATCCCTGGACCCTGGGATCATGACCTGAGCTGAAGGCAGACGCTTAACCGGCTGAGCCACCCAGGAACCCTATAGGAAAATTCTTGAATTTAAACTAGATGTTGCTAATTCTTTATTTCTTTGAATTTGGAGTTGTTGACCAATCTAAGATATATGGGAGGGTTTTGTTTGGTGTTTATTTGTGCCAGTCATTTTTCCCAGTCAGCTAGTTTTCCAACATTTCTACGAGGTTTTCTCCCAGCATAACTGCACAGAAGATAGTCTTAAATTTATGCCAACAGTGTTCTGACATGTAGGTTGTTCCTTTCTTTAAAAAAGATCTGTTTCTGTATTCTTGAAATTGGTTCGTTTCCTTTAGTTTCAGTCTGTCCTTAATTCTCAATTTTTTTTTATAAATACCCCGCGCTAACCGATATGGACATTAAGGAGGGCATGTGGTGATGAGCACTGAGTATCATATAAGACTGATGAATCACTGAACTCTACCTCTGAAACTAATAATACACTGTATGTTAATTTATTGAATTTAAATTAACAAATCTACCTGTCACTCTAAAAAAAATTCTCAATTTTTTTTCTTTCGTTCTTCCTTATTCTCAGGTTTTAGAACAAGTAGCTTCTGAAACTGTTTTTATGAAAAGGTAGACTATCTTCTATAGCAGGACTTGCTTTAACTAATTTTATTTTGATGCAGAAACGAATCACCTTGTGAAAGTCTGTATTATTAAAGTTAGGCCTCCCCTGTAAGGTTCTAAAGTTCTATTTCTACTTTTTGAACTACTACTCTGTGAAGGAAATAAATGGTTGGCTTGATGTTGAATGCTGATTGTTAATTTTTACTTTGCTTGTATTTGATGTTAATTCTAATCTCAGTTTCTTTGCCGTATTTCCTTTTAATGACCTTTTAGGCGACTGTAGCTCATTTTCATCTATGATGTTTAGAATTGGATCAGAGGATTCTTGACATAAATTCCCATTTGGTCCCTCACTGGCAGTAGGACTCTGGGCATTTTAACCTCTTTAAACCTCATTTTCCAGGCGCCTGGATGGCTCAGATGGTTAAGCGTCTGCCTTCGGCTCCAGTCATGATCCCAAGGTCCCAGGATCGAGTCCCACATCGGGCTCTCTGCTCCTTGGGAGCCTGCTTCTCTCTGTCTCTCTCTCTCTGTCTCTCTCTCTCTGTCTCTCATGAATAAATAAATAAAATCTTTAAAAAATAAATAAATAAAATAAACCTCATTTTCCTCATTTGTAGAATGGGATGGTAGTACCTATGAAGTAGGTCAAGATAGTAGTTACCTTTATGGGGTTTTCATTGGAACAGGAATTGTAGGAAGCTTTAGGGGGTTGTGGTTAGGTTCTGTTTCTTGATTTGAGTTGTAGCCATATAAATATTTGCTTTAAAAAAAATTTATTAACCTGTACCTATGTGTTTTGTGTCCCTTTCTGTGTGTTATTTTTCACAATAAATAAGTATGGTTTAGGGCCCCTGGGTGGCTCAGGTGGTTAAGTGTCTGCCCTCGGCTGGGGTGGTGATCTCAGAGTCCTGGGATCGAGCCCTGCCGTCAGGCTCCCTGCTTAGCTCTGCCTCCCCTCATGCTCACATGTGCGTGTGCGCTCTCTAATAAATGAATAATTTTTTTTAAAGTATGGTTTTAAAAGAGCAGAAAATGAATAATTATCTCTCTAGAATATCCCTTAAAAAGAGGGAGTTTTTAAAAAGAAAGAATATCCTCTACTTTATCTTTCAGTTGTGCCAAGCCAAATAGCTCTTTCAAGACCCGCTTTTATCATTACATGGAGGTTCTCTTCTGAGTCCCAGAGTGGCCTCTGACTTTTAGTACTCCCAAAGAATTGAGGTGTCCACCCCAAGTTTGAGAACCAGTGGTTAGAAACTTTTTTTTTAAGTAGGCTCCATGCCTAGTGTGGACCCCAACGCGGGATTCGAACCGACAACCCTGAGATCAAGAGTCAGGCATCTAATTGACTGAGCCACCAGGTGCCCCAGAAGCTTTTTATAAAAGTGTTCTTTTCGGGGTGCCTGGGTGGCTCAGTCGTTAAGCGTCTGCCTTCGGCTCAGGTCGTGATCCCAGGGTCCTGGGATCGAGCCCCACATCGGGCTCCCTGC